GCTCCATATCCTCAAAAAATCTTCCACAATTAGGTTTAGTGGTTTTACAGCAATCCATCATATGAGCTTACCTTATCTCAGCAGTCCCTCTGTTGTTGAGCAATGAGATTTTTCACTATGTAGCTAATGCAGTATGAATATCTTTGTAAATAAACTTTTATCTATCTCCTTGAATATTTCTTTTTTAAAATATTTTATTTATTTGAGAGAGAGAGAGTGCATAGGGAGCAGGGGGAGGAGCAGAAAGAGAGGGAAAAATATTTTCTACTGAGCAGGGAATTGGACAATAGGGCTCCATTTCAGGACCCCAAGATCATGACCTGAGCTAAAGGCAGACCCTTAACTGACTGAGACACCCAGGTGCCCCTCCTTGAATATTTCTAGTCTAAGTTTTCTTGAAGTGGGATACCAGGAAAAAAGGATATTTTGAAAGTTCTAGGTATATACTATGAATCTATATTCCTGAAAGAAATGTATTACTTGATGCCTCTGTGAAGCTATATATGAGATAGTACATTTCGAGGCCACATTAAGCATTGCTTTTTTTTTTTTTTTTTAAAAAAAAAGGAAAACATGTTCCCAATTTGATATAATAAAAATTATATCAGTTTGATTCCTGGTGAAAGTGAATGTTTCTACATATAAACTATTAAAAACTATTAAAACTGGTGAATTTTTACTGAGACATGCCTTAGCCATTCTGCTCTGCAAGCAGAAGTCATTGTTCTCTTACATTTTCCCTTGTGTCATGGTTTCTAACTTTAATCCACTTCGTGGCTTTCCTCTAAAGAGTTTTTCCTTTTTTGGGTTCTTCTCTTATCCTGGAAACCAGGATAAGAGGCTACTTTAGTATTGGGGCCAGACTGCTGGTTTTTGGAATAATGAGAGAATTCATCATGTTCCTATTTATGCAAGTCATGAGCAATCAAGTGGTTGGTACGAGTTAGTATTGATCTGGGTACTATGGAGGTAAGAGAGGGTCCTTGTCCTCCCAGAGTTTAAAGTCTAATTGGAAAGAAAGGTCTAATGCATGAAACAATTAGTGATCAATACAAGGCAGCCTACACTGAGTGGATATTAGAATACAGATACTAAGTGCTTCGGTCATTTAAAGAAAGGGAGAAATCAATGATGATGTGAATAGTCATCAATGAGTTTGGCCTTGGTAGAGGGAAGGACAGGCAGTTCAGGTGAAAAGAACTATAGAAGTGATAGCCTATTGTAGATAGGAAGAGCATGGATTTTTGTGTCAGACCTGGGTGGGAAGTCTTAGCTCCACCATTTACTAGCTTTGAACTTCAGAGTAGGTATTAACCAGTCACACTCCAGGTTTGAATCCCAACTCTGTCACTTACGAGCTGTGTCAAAGCTGATATTTTGGGCAAGCTAATAACTTCAATGGTAAATCGAATTTGGTTCATAACATTATGGTAATCAGAATACCTACTTCATAGGGTTGTTGTGGGAATTAAGTGAGCACATGTGAAAACTGGGTCCTGGCACATTATAAACACTCAATAGTGTTAGTTTTCATCACAAATTGCTTTAGACGTCAATTTAGTAAATTTAGTAAATCACTTGTTAATATAATGTACTAATGATTCTCCACCATAATAACTGGGGGTGTTTTGAATGAGAATTAGACAGATTTGTCATTGCAAAGGAGAGAAAGACTGGAACTGGAGGTTTTCCTCCAAATTATGATGCACGTTTTATATTTTGAAGTGAAGTGCTTGGCTCTTCCCTCAAGGTCAGTTTATTGTTTATTATAGCCTACATGCACAGACCTGTATCTCCCTCCATTTGGGCTTGAAAGCCTTTTTCTCTGTAAGGCCCAAAGTTACCTCTGATTGAGGAAGGGAGTAAATAAAGGTATGCAACTTTCTTAACTACTTCAGCAGTAGGGGGCAGTGCTGACTATGCCATTTTAGTATCAAGGCAGAATGAGTTCATTTTTAGCAATTGTTCTTAATGTCATCTGTATTTCAGAGTAGTTAATTTTGCTAATTTGGCAAAACACGGATAAAGTTAAATAAAATTCAAAGATAAATTCAACATAAGCAGACAAATTCTCTGGTCTGGATAAATGGCAGTAAAGAACAGCCTTTTTGCCAGATTGCTCCCTGAATAGAATCTTTTAGGTTTTAACACTAAGAGTGTTCCAAAAGTTTTTTTCAACCAAATAAAAGGATTTTGTGGGATATTTCTATGGCAAAACTCTTCTATTCACAAGACCGAGTTTTCTTTTTTCTTTTTTTTTTAAAGATTTTATTTATTAATGAGAGACATACAGAGAGAGACAGAGGCAGAGACACAGGCAGAGGGAGAAGCAGGCTCCATGCAGGGAGCCGGACGTGGGACTCGATCCAGGGTCTCTAGGATCATGCCCTGGGCCGAAGGCGGCGCTAAACGGCTGAGCCACCGGGGATGCCCAAGACCGAGTTTTCTGCCACATAACATTGGAACTAATGATTGCAGCTATGGCTATTCAAGGTCTGGAGGATTATGGTATAAGATATTAGCACATCATACTTTACAATTAATCAAGACAGTTTTCAGAATGATTTTCTGTCTCATGAAGAGAAATATAATTTCTTTCTCGGACTATCTATGTTGGCAGAAATAAGAGACCTCTAAATACATAGTTTCCACGTAGATGATAATGAAGGAGGGGAGAAGAGGAAGAGGAGGAGAGAAGAAAAAGGAGGAGGAGGTGGAAATGAGAGAGAAGATGAAGGGGAAGATTATTTTTGATCATGATGATGCCCCAATTCAGCTATTTGTCAACCAGTACTTAATCAACATGAACATAGCTCCCAAATACTTCCAAAAAGCCAGGTTCTGCTGTGACAAACCAGCTCACTTAAGATAATGATGGATCTAATGATGGAATCACCAGACAGGATTCCCTCTTGGCCTTCATCTCATTTATCATATTTAAGTTTCATCAGAGTCCTGCAAAACAGTGTTATGCCTGTTTTATAAATGAAGAAATTATGTCTCAGATGACTTGACAAAAGTAGAGGAGCAGGCATTCAACTTCAAGCTAGTTGTTTTCCTGTTATGAAGCCCTTATTATAGCATGTGCAGTGAAGATTAAGCAAGACACTTCATAGAATGCCTGACACAGTCGGCACTCAAATATAATTTTTTTCCATCTTTGAGTTCCTTACTGGAGATTACATAAATCCCATGAGAGCTATTGTGCACATAGGAAGAATAACTACATTTTCTTTTTGGCTCAAAGGAAACTGACAGCATAGCTTATCTGAACTATGTAGCTCAGTGGGGGCAATAAGTAGGATGGCTACAAATTTTGATAGGTTTAAGTTGGTTTTATATTTTGAGAAATAGCTATATTATCTAAAAGCAAAATACTGGTATGATTGCCTTATAGAGTTTCTTATTTTTCAAATTCCATGACCATTACTTTTCTTTATAAAATGATGAATACCAAATGAAATAGCTAGGATAAATAGTTTTTTTTTTGCAAGAAGGGTAATATTCCCTCTAATCTGGAATAAATAATGACTTCTTAGTGAAGGTGTCCTAGGTTTCTATCTTTTCTCTACCGCCTATTAGTTGTGGCTAGTCATCTAAAATTCTTGAGCTTCAGTTTTTTAATTTTTAAAATGCAGGTAGTAATACTTGTCTTGGAGGAACGTTGTGAGAATTTGGTAAGTAAGGTATAAATTCCATAACATATAGTAAGGACTCAAAAAAGTGCTTCCTCCTGCTCATGAACTGAAAGCATTGGGATTGGTATTTTAATAATCTTAATAATAAGATTATTTTTTGTTGTAATAATACTACAAAATCATATAGGTAATCTTAAGGTAAATTGTGATTATTTCCCTCTTTATTATTATTTTTCATTTCATTTCTCTCTTTAAAAAGCACTACTCATTTGTGTGTTTCTGGGAGTTTTTAGAATAATTTTTTTTTGCCTTTAGTATAAAAGTATTAAATATAATGGCTCAAGTGGTCATCAGAGAATGTAGGAATTTGTGCTTTAACAACACAAAGACTTTAGAAATTGTGATGGTTATCAGTGTCATCTAACGAACAGCCCTAACTCTCCCCATTTCCACTTACATGATGGAACTGCATTTCCCAGTTTGAATGGGACTGTGGAACTAGACTTGGCTAGCAAGTTGCCAGGAGTTACAATGCCTGGTCCAGACCTTTCAGACTCCCTTTCTCCTTCCAGCTTGACAACCAGCAACAATTGAAAAGGTAGCTACATCAGACTTGGTCTCTAAGAACCTCCTCCCCTACTGACCTATAAAAGTCATATAGTAAGATACTAGGGAATTGTAGCAGCATTATGTAACTCATTCTAAATGATCAGAAGTGGTTAACCAATGAAAAATCTTCCAGCAAAAAATATATATATGTTAAATAAAATATATATATTACACATACATACATACATATATATGGCAATATATGGAGCCTCACTTCAAATTGTCCCTTTAGAATTGTCAACCTTGACAGCACTTATACATAATAAGAATAAAATTTCACTTAGTAATAGCAATTCCTATGCATCCCTCAATTGAAAATAGAGATCAAAAGTAGATTAAGATAAGTTTAAAGGCAGGAATATAACTTAATTTGATATTTTTTCTCATCTAAAAGTTTTTTAGATATTTAGATGAGTATTCTTTAAAATACCAAAAAATACCAATTCATGTAGTTTTTTCACATCATGCAATTCACACTCTAAGTTCAATACTGAGTAAACCCAAATATCTTTGATTTTTTTCTTATAAAGTAAAATAATAAGGTATGGTTTACATTGTTCAATGATAATGATAGCAAGAAGAATGTTGTATTTGAATCAGAATAAATATTACTATTAATTTTTTTGGACAAATAATTTCAAATATAATTTTAAAAGACAATATCAGCATCACAGATTCAGATTTAAATAAATAAGAACAAACACAATGAAATATCTTAATAAATAGTTTTATTTTAAAATGATATGACACACTTGCTATTAACATATAAGGCATCACATGCCCTAAGAAAAAAGCCCATAACCTTAATAACTGCCCTTTTTGCATATTAAAACACATAATCAACATCAAATTATTTTTATTTGGCAAGAAAAATAAAATTAAAAGCACGATGAGAGCCACAAAATAGAAACTCTCAAATATACTGTATAGCAATAATCCATCTTTGCTTTCTTGTACAACGTTTCTTCCCAGCCTGGCTAGGAAGCAGGAAGATGGCAGTGGGAAAATAAGGCTGTTTTCTTCCTGAAACACAGGAGAATTACTAAAACTTGGAGCAAAGGAAAATACTTTCTGCTGCCCATATTTCCTTGAAATAAAATATTAATTCATGATAAGATAAATTCTAAATATGCCACACTCTTATGAGCCTGAAATTGCACAGTTAAAAAAATAAATCAATCATCTGTGAGATGCTGAACAGCCAAAAGAGACCTACGTAACTATGGCATCTCATTCTGAGGTTGATTCTAAATTCTTCATTCATGACCTGTAAAAGACTTCTCTTGTCCTTAAAGTCAACATTAAGGCATGCCAAATCTCCTATAAGAAAATTATTCTAACAATAGCTTTGGATATTACAGTTCTATAATTATAAACATTCTTCTAATACATACAGAGACTTGATTGGACATAAATTTACACACTAACAAACATAAACCACAGGTATGCTCTTAAGTGTAAGCCACAGATTTTTGAAGTCAATTTTACATATTTAAAAAAAACATCTTATGTTTTACAGTGTCAGTGCACAAATCAGGCAAATTATTTCCCAAGGCTTCTGCCCATAAAGTTGGAAGGAGAGAATATTTTAGAATACTATGAACCATAAAATGATATAGCTGAAAATCAGCTGAAAGATAATGATATGTTAATTCTCTTTCTTATGAACCCTTTTATACTGGGTAAAGCCAGTGAGAGTTCATTATAATTCTTTTCATTGTAGTCATTCTTTATGCCCAATTCTGGGAAAGGTCAAACCCCATTGCAGAGAACTATAAAGATCTGTCTTATTCGTTTGTCACAGTGGAATCTAGCTGGTGGTATTAAATCTTGTTGAATAGGTGAACCACTGGTGAAGGTTGTGAATCTCTTTTGTCAGACCACATTTTTGTGGTAGCAGTAATTGCTGCAATGGAATCTGACCTTCAGATTGAAAAACCTGCTCCTAATAAATATATAGAACATTTTTTTCCTTTAACTTTAGATGATTAATCCAGGTAAGGTTTTGCATAAGCCTCTCGCACATATGAAGGCTGAAATGTTCAAATGCTGTTGCCTAGAATTTCTGCCTGTCACAAAGAAGTAACAAAAAGTAGAGCCACTTGGGTTCAGACCCTAATTCCTGACACCCCACTGGCATAGTGCTCACTCAATCACTATCCTTACACTGGGAGGCAAAACGAAGGCACAATTAGTAGGGCAGTCTCTTTGTCTAAATTTGCACCTCAAAGGACATGTGCGAGCATTGGTTCAATTGGGTCCCCAAAACAAATAAGTATGAGAGGGATGGACTCAGATATTTTAAGCAGACAGCAAAGCATGTGATATTGATACCAGGCAGGTATCTAGTAAAATAGAACCAAGGGGCATAGCAGTTGTATGGATAAAAGCACCACAGCCACCAAGAATTTCATGGTACTAAGCAGTCCTACATTCCTCTAAACTATAAATCAGTTATGAAATGGGAAGCCTAGAGAAAAGACATTCTTCTTCTGAGGAGGCCAATAAGTGGTCTGCTTCTGGAGCTCTAAATGGCTAGAAAGGACCCTCAGCATTGCAGAGAAAACATTCAGCTCTACTATAAACAGTTTAAAGTGCCCTACAAAGGAACAGTTTACTAAAGTTATTAGAAAGATTAAACTGTCCATAAGCAGCATGTAGATCCCAGTTGGTACTGGAGAAAGTCAACTTTCTTTCTGGTATTCACTCCTTTGGACCACATTGCTAAAGAATGAGCTGCTTTCTTTTAAGATTAGGAAAGTGACTTAGAGTTTAGTTTTTTGAAACCTGATAGAAAGTTAAAGACCTAAACATGGACCTCTGAAAGAAGTTGCTGTTGCAGTTCTAGCAATAGAAACTCTCATAAACAACAACCAGCACCATGTTCAAGAGATACATGTAAGGTCATAATATCCATGAAGGATCCAAGACCAGCAAGACCACAACCATCATCGGTTCAATGTCTATAACGTTTATCACCTGATCTTGCCAAAGTACTTCTAAATAAAGACATTTAGGGATCCCTGGGTGGCGCAGCGGTTTGGCGCCTGCCTTTGGCCCAGGGTGCGATCCTGGAGACCCGGGATCAAATCCCACATCGGGCTCCCGGTGCATGGAGCCTGCTTCTCCCTCTGCCTATGTCTCTGCCTCTCTCTCTCAGTCTGTGACTATCCTAAGTAAATAAAAATTTAAAAAAAAAATTTAAATAAAGACATTTAGAGCCAAAAACCTCTGACTCAGGTTGGAAACAAAAGAGTCTTAAAGTTCAGGGGGTTTTTGTTGCCTGTGTTACCATGACTTTAAATTCAAGTAATCCTCATCTTGAATTCAGGCACTGGTAGGATGGACAAGAGCTACCCAACTGAATAGTGGAGGGAAGCAGATTAAGGCAGTTAGCTGAACTTTGTCAATACAGCATTAAAGGAGACATCCAGATGATTTTCTGAATTGCTTCTTTTTGGAGTAATGGTCTGCCATCACATAAGTAGAACCTTAAAAAAGATGTGTCCTATACGTGAACAGATTTAAATAATGTTGTTGAAATAAATAAGCATTAATTATAATATTTCAATTTTAAAATTTTAAGAAAGGAGAGGAAGAAATGCATTCTGACTTGTTAGGTCTTTCCTTGTGCATATCTTATCCTTATTAGAACTCAAATAGATATAATGGGAGATATGTGTATCCTTTAGATCACATCAGAACTGTATGTAATTTGGTAGCACTGTTAAGATTCATTAAATGTTTCCCAATGAAAAATTTCAGATTTTTCTCCTTTATCCAGTTTTACAAAATTGAAAAACTTCCTAACACTTGATTCTCAAATTTGTCTTCCTTCATGAGCTGAAAATCGGGCTGTACATTAATTCAGTTTAGTCTGCAATTTAGCTAATTAACTATGTTTCACCAATAAATAAAGCAAAACTCAGCTGATCCCACTTAGCTTCTAAGAATAAGCATGTACTTTTTTAATGTATTTTTTAAAAATACAAAAGACACACAGCTCAGACCTACTCACCCAGCCAAGGATATCATTAACTTATTGCCTCAACTTTCATGTAAAGAGGATCCCTAAACAAGCTAGAATCTGACAATTTATAGACCTTCAGAATATGAAATTTATACTGCTGATAAGTCAACTTCAACATAAATCATGAGAGTCACAGTAAAACAAGAACTTTGTTCAGAAAGCACAACGACCCAGCAATAGATAGCAAAAATCATGTTTATATTCTCCCAATTTTTTTCAAATTGAGCTACATCTAGCTTTTTCTGATGTCCATGTAATTTCTCATTTTTACCTAATAATTCTTTCACATGCCTGCCCTCTCCCTTTTTAGTATCCTCTGATTCTTTTTCCATTTCATCTTAAATCCTTAGTAACACACAATGTATCTAACTCATCAGATCAATCTCTGACAGCCACAAGAACTCATTCACATAAATGTCCTGAGTCACACACTCTGCCAGCCAAAGTCATCCACGTATTCCACAATCCTCAAAAACAACAAAAACTTTAGGCATTAGAATTAGGCTTTAGAATCTATCAAGAAATTGTGTTCTCACTTCCCCATTTCTGCCCTTCCATCCAAAGTTCCAAGTTCCAGTCCTCTTTACGAATGACCCCACCGATGGAAGTTCAAACAGCTCTTACAGTGGAAGGATGGAAACACCTCAAGGATTAACTGTAAAATGCAAGCTATTTCTGAGTCTGTCTTTTCTACTCCTTTCTGAACCATAATGGTACAGAGATAGTGTGGACACTGGTTGTGTTTTGCAAAGTTGTGACCACTTTGCTCATCATGAATCTCATCGAGCAAGTTTGAATGTTATGAGGCAAGATTTCACAGTTACTGAGGGCATGGATGAGGAACTCAGAATGATACTTATGGGGCACCTGAGTGGTTCAGTAGGTTAAGCGTCTGCCTTCAGCTCAGGTCATGATCTCAGGGTCCTGGGATTGAGCCCCGTATCAGGCTCCCTGCTCAGTGGGGAGTCTGCTTCTCCCTCTGCCCCTCCCTGCCTTGCTGTGCTCTCTCTCTCTCTCTCTCTTTCTCTAATAAATAAATAAATCTCTAAACAAAATTTAAAAATTAAAAAAAAAAAGAAGAATGATACTTAGACCACTGTTAGGAGGTGATAAGTTTTAGTGAGGATGCAGTTCCCACTGAATCTCTGTGTTTACTCTTTCTCTCTGCTGTTCTTCTAATTTTTCAGCTGTGGGCTTAAGGACTGCTGCCATCCTAGGGCAATGGCAATGGCTTGTTGCTTGGCCTAGAGTAAGTGATACCAGCTTCTAGGCACAGTCTCTAAGAGTCTAGCTGCAATTGTATTGCAATTGTATTTCTCCAAACAACAACAACAAAACATCACGTGGGTGTGTGTGAGCCAATCATGACTCAGACCTGCCTAGAGGTTTATGTCTGGAAATATATTATGGACGTCTTATGCTTTGGCTCTCTGGTGTGAGAACCAGGAAAGAATTCTAGAGCCTGGGTGGCCAGTATGATGGCTAAACCACAAAAAGAAAATGAAATTTATATGAGCAACTAATTTTACTTCATCTAGAGAATGAGCATGCAACACTGGCTAAAATCTGGCACTACCGTTCTGGGTTAAATTAAGATTAGTCTTATAATGATTTATATTTTTTTCCTAGCAAGTTGATTCTAATGACTTAGTTACCACTTCTGAGCACAGGAGTAATTTTAAATATAACAGATGTGTTTTTGCATTTTAAAAAATAATCAACATCCTCAAGCTTCAAAATATTCAAATTCAAAACCCTATATTTTAGTGTTCAGCCAATTTAAAAGAAGAAAAGAATTAGCAAGAGAATGGATAAGCACCTTTGAGAATTAAATGTAAGCCTTATTATATGATTAGTACTTAAGTTCTATTTCATAAAATGTTACTAATTGGTCCTACTGTGTGTAGGACCTCCTAATGTCCAAAGAATAATACCCCATATACCTTGTAAAAGAAATCATTTGTACACTCGTTGTTAGAAATATTTTGCTATTGAAATAGAAACTGATGGCCATTATAGATTAGTTAATCTCAGTTCTTTAGATGGACAGGTATAGCTGGTTGTAGTTTCTTAATGCATCTTACACAGCTTTTCTTCTAAATAAAAAATACATATAGAACCAAAACACTCACTGGCTGTTGGTTTGGGAAATAAGCCTATCTTGCTAAGCAAATAAACTGCACTGTTCATTTTAAGAAATGTGGTTTGTTTTCAAATAAAATGCTAATGCAGATTCTCACTAGGCTCACAACCAGAATTAACTCTGTACATCAAGAGAATCTTCCTCTACCAAGGACAGTTCCAGGGTATTTTCATTAGTGCAGGTTTTCATCCTGAAGTTGAAAGAACCGTAGAGTTTTGCAGACTCTTTGGAAGAGGCAAACCTGTTGCGACGATACAGCTCCCCTTTCCACATAGACATCATTAGCAAACAGGACAGAACGACCCCCCCAAGCGTAAGCAGGCAGAGTCCTGCAATCACACAGCGGTCCAGGTGAGCCCCCAACCTCGCGCTCTCCTTTTCCAAGCGTTCCATCTCCCTGGCTGCCACGGTGTTGGGATCCACAGTCACTTCCCGTGGGACAATGTACGAGATGATCACCAGCAAGATGCCAGTGACCAAGAACAAGATGGCACTGACGAAACCATAGTCTACGGACTTCCCTGAAGATGTGGCTTCTGAACTTACATCATCCTCATCTTCAGATATCAAGGATATGGCAGGCTCATGGGACCACTCATTTGGATTTCCCCAGCCAAGGTCTCCCAGATGACTGCTTCCTTTTGCTGAAAGGGAACATCGGTTCTTTTGCTCTAAGTTGACATTCTCATCCACGCAGGTAAAAGAAGTTTCTAATTCCTGGCTGCAGCAGTTGCAGACTTTCCGGCCTGCCGTTATTTGGTTGTTCCCTGAGTTGAGAGGTCCTGGCGGCAAAGAGTCTATCTGAATAGCACTGTCTTGTAGGGAGGAGGAGGGGGATGCTGGAGAAGGGCGAAGTTTAGATCCTTCTGTCTCAGCTGCTCTGGGTGTCGACATACAGTGTCTCTGGCAGCAGAGAGCAGCTTTGACAGCTGCTGCATCTGCCTGGTCACCAGGAAGCCCTCCTGAATGCCAGTCTGCAGCATCACACAGGACCGCCTGGCTGCTCTTCTTAGCAAGGCAGTGGAGCTCCATCGAGCAAGTCAGACATCCCCCAGCAGCTTCTGAAAATTCTGCCAACAGCAACACAGATAAGAACCCAATAGTGGCTAAGGCTACACTACCAGGAGTATCGCTCCTGGGGTCCCCATCTCCTTTTTGGTCACAATTGTTGACACTTCCAGCCCCAGTTCCTCCTAAAAGGGATAAAAGAAAGGAAAGGATATCTGGTGGCAGGAAAGTGTGAAAAGGGCAAATCCTCTGACTTAGCAGAGGGATTGACACTGAGAAACTTAGGTCAGGGTAGAGGTAGAAAAGGAGCACAGAGGAAGTAGCAGTGTCTCTGAAGGAAGCATTGCCGTCACCAAGCCAAATTTATCCAAGGACTCACACATTTCTGTGACAGGATCCCTCAAATAAGAAGGCAAGTTTCCTGTAGAGAGACACAAATGAGAAAGGCAGGGACCTTTTTTAGCAGAGCTGAGATTTTCTGGAAAACCTGGGGAAGCACACACTTCTCAACAATTCAGTTAAATTCTTTACACTATCTTTAGTTCAGAACAGATCCTAATATTGATTAGCTTTAGAGCATCACTGTGGAAGAACAAATATGGCACTATCCGGTGGGCTCTACTGGCACTGGGGCTCAGCATTGTGACTGAGTAGCTCTGAAGTGGGTAAAAGATACCCGGCCACATCTCCTAAACTTAAGGTCATCCGCTGACCTAAGTCACGGTCCTGTGTGTACAAAACCCTCTGCTTGTTCATTGTGCTTTCATTCTCAGCCCCAGCAGCTACAGGATGCTAGCTTGTTCTGGACTGGCAAGTATGGAGACAACTCGCCTTACCGTGTGATCCCAGCCAGACCTGATGGGGCAGCCTGCTCCACTCCTCCTCTCCCCACCACACCTGGTCTAGGTACAGATCAGCTACTCTTGCTCATTGTGTCTGAATGGGTCTGAGTTCCTCTCCCTGTGCACACTTGGCTAACAAACACGCATGGGAAATTGGCCATCCAGAAGTTTTTATTTAGAAGTAAACTGACAGTGAAGACAAATTATAAACCTGCAGAGTCACAGTTCTGTTGAGGGAAACAGGTGAGAAGCTGTTAACATAGTTCCAAAATTACCTTTGGAAATTTGTCTCCAGACATGCCTTACTCCCACTGCAGCATGGGATCCTTCTGTGACAGAACTTTGGGTTGAGCAGAAACTGTCATCCTTCCAAGGAATAACAACTCCACTATCACCGAGTACAGCAGTTACAAGCAAGGGCCCTTTTAATTTTGTTTCCAAATTCTTGGCAATAATCGATTTAACCCATGGTGCTGGGGCTTATTATGCTAAAAATTCGCAGCTCCAGGGATTCCTGGGTGGCTCAGCGGTTTAGCGCCTGCCTTCGGTCTAGAATGTGATTCTGGAATCCTGGGATCGAGTCCCGCATGGGGCTCCCTGCATGGAGCCTGCTTCTCTCTCTGCCTGTATCTCTGCTTCTCTCTCTCTCTCTCTCTTCTCTCTCTCTCTGTGTGTGTCTCTCATGAATGAATAGGTACAATCTTAAAAAAAAAAATAATTTGCAGCTCCAACAGCTGGCAACCCCCCCCCCCCACACACACAAGTAATGCTTACCTAAGGTCTACTTGGCAACTCACTTAAAATATGGGAGAGGGAATCCACAGTTTTCTGCTCTATATTAGTTTGCTTTATTTTTTTTTAACTTCCATTATCGAAGTTTTTCTGTAACTGAAACAGGAAAACAAAACAAAACCCACCAAGTGCGAAAAACATACAACTGAACCAACCAACCACAGCTTTCCCTTAGCAAGTGGACACAGATCCCTACAGTCGGATCCGTCCATGGATAAAGCGACGATAACGGATTCGATCAATTCCTGAAACGAAAAACAGTCTCGCAGCTCCCTCAGACGTGAGGCGCTCTGACTGACTTCTGGCCCGATCCACTCCTCACACTGGACTACCCTGGATGAAGTCGGCAGGGTCGCGTACGGGGCTTCCAATTCATAACAAAGAGGGACAGAAATCTCCACTGAATTCCCCTCTCCTGCGCCTCTCTCTAAGAAAAGACAGACTCCGCTTGTTCCACGGGGATATACGAGCCGCACAGTCGATTCGCCGGCAGCTCCACAGCCCGCGGCTGCCATCCCCAGCAGAGAATGGATAACCCCATGGGACCGGCGAAAGGCTCTTCGCCTCCGTCTCCCGCCTCTCGTCCCTCCGGCTAAGCGCGCGGTTCCGCAAACTGCACCTCAGAGCGAGGGGACGCTCCCGGCCTCCTCCGCCTGCCTCAGCGCGGAGCACCGGCACCTGCACGGAGCTAACTGACGGGCGAGGCCGGTCTGGGGAGGCGACCTCGGATCCGGCCGGTGCGGGCGGGCGCGCTCGGTGCGGGGATCAATCCGTCGGTCCCGGGTGAACCTCGAGGCACCGGCGTCGGGCTGCGACCGCCAAACAGCCCGAGGCAAGGCGAGCGCCCGGGGCAGAGAGTGGGACGCGCTCCGCTGCCCCGCCAGGCTCCCGGGGGCTCTCCCTCGCCCCAGCGCCTCCTCCCGGCCCCGCTCGCCCTCACTCACCCCCGCCTGACCGCCCCGTGCGGCCTGAGCACCGCGCGCCCCCCGGCGCGGCTCCGCGGGGAAGTCGCCCGAAGGCCGGCCGGCCGCCGCTCCCGGAGCCTCCGCTCCGCCGGGCTCCGCCGGGAGGGCAGCGCCTGCGGCGCCGGCCGGGAGGGGCGGGGCCGGGCGCGGCGGGGCGGGGCGGGGCGGGGCGGGGCCGGGCGCGGCGGGGCGGGGCGGGGCCGGGCGGGGCGGGCGGGCGGGCGCTCCTTCGTGCTGAGCATCCCGGGAGATGTAGTCCAGGGGCGGTCTCCCGGCCTCCCCCACCTCGCTCTTTCTCCCTCCCCGTGGCTTTTGCCCTTCCTGCTCTACGTCCATGCTCCTGCTCATCACTTTAGAAGAAATCCCTGGATCCTAAACGCAGGGTTGGGTCCTACAGCCTCAGGTACGGCGGCCACAAGATTATGGGGGAAGGAGTATATGTATATGTATATGTAGTTCCAACACTGTGCCAGGCAATATGCCTATTTTGTCTTATTTAATAGAACAGATCTTGGAAGAAGATTTTATTAATCCTCATCCTTACAGATAAGGGAATGAGGCTTAGAGGAATTAAGTGTTTCATCCAACGTTACAGAGACAAGAAAGTTTATTCGGGAATATGCTTCCAAAGTCATTGCCTTGCCCACGCAATCAGGAGAAACATCACCATTGAGGGATTTGTTCCTTTTTGCCTATTGCATCCCCTGTGCCTTAGCCAAGTGTCTAGTGTCTGTTGCATGATCCAAAATAACGGCCGTTAACATAAATAATACTTATTACTTCCAGGTTCTCTTCTAATCACTTTAGGTACATTAACTCGTTTAATGTTCACAATTTATTTTTAAATCCTATTTAAAAATTCTCATTTTTACACGAGAGGAAATTGAGTTACAAAGAAGCTTAGTAATTTGTTCAGAGGGCCCAGGACTCAGCAGAGGTGAGGCATGAGCTCCAAAAGTTTCCAAGAATTATGCAAATTGAATGAATGGAAGAAAGATCAGAAGGCTAGAAAAGAAAGGGTTGGGAATAAAGGAAGTCGGCAGATGAAGCTTCTGAGTTATGACTCCCAGGATAGAACAAAGTAACTTCTTTGGGTCACCAATCTTTCTAACTGTAGTGGATTGCACCAGCCAACAGCCAAAGGGAATGTGTGCCGTTTGTGGATCATCTCCAAGTTTTCAGCATTGCCTTTGGGACTATTATGGGGTTATTGATTGTTTTCATCTATGGGAAACAAAAGAAGGGCTATAACCCTTTATAACTTTTTTCTACTTGTGAGTAGCTCATATAAATTCTGTGGTTGCTTGCTTTCAAGTGATAAGTCTTCCACAGTGACAATTTTGTTAGTTTTCCTTTATAGTGATAGAATCCATAGTATCATAGTTCTAGGGACTTCACAGTCCAGCTCCATAAGATCTTTTCCCCCCCATAACTCCCTTTTGGCCAGTTAGGCCCATTTGTTGATAAGCATGTTATGCATATTGTGGTTTCTTCTGCTTTGTTTATTACTCTGCTCTCCAGTGAGAATATCCTTCCTTCCATCCCCTATTCCTTCCACCCTTTTGAGGACTATCTCATCAAACCATACCTGTAGGGGTACATTCTGCTTTTAGTACTTTATGTTTAGAAGGGAACACAAAGACATCATAGGGTATCTAGAAGAGAGCAACTGAGAAATTGAAGAAACTCACTTTGGACAGGACGATGCTGAAGGAGCTTGAGATATTTAGTAATAGGAGAGTTACAGGAAACAAAAACTAGCTTTAAATAATTTGAGACTCCCAAAAAGAAGAGGAATTCTGTATGTATCATGGTTAAAAAGGGTAAAAGCAGAACCAATGACAATAATAGCACTTGTTAGCCCTAATATGTTCTCATATTTAATTCTTACACCAATTCTATATGGGAGCACATGTCATTGTACCCATTTTGCGATGTAGAAATTGAGGATTAAAAAGGTGGAGTCTCTGTCCCAAGGTATGAGAACTAATCACTGACAGAGCCAAGATTCTAACTTGAGTCTGTCTGATTCCAGAACCTGTATCTCTTCACCACCATGCTGTACTGAGCAATGCTTCACAGTAGAGCATGCATGAGAGATGATAATATTTATTGCACTAGGATAAACATAAGAGGTTTCTCATGGCCATAGTTCTGGTGCTGTGGCTACTGCAGGCTCAGCAGGACAGCTAGGATGGCCAAGGGAATACATAAGCCAGCACGTCTGTAATACAGCGAATCACCTGAGGATGATGGACATGGGGACTGGAAAGCTTTGGATAGCACTATCACTTTTAATAAAGAGGTTGATTTGGGGCTGATTATAAGAAATAACATTCTCTCCTGGAATGTGAAATAGGATGTCTCATGAAAGTGAATTCTGTATTACTGGAGAGGATAACGAAAGAACCATTTATTAGTGATGTTGTAGAAAGGGTTCATCTAGTTGGATTAGAGGACCTC